AGAGGAAGGAGGGCGGGGAGGAGGGAGAGGAAGGAGGGCGGGGAGAGGGAGAGGGAAGAGGGCGGGAGGAGGGAGAGGAGGAGGGCGGAGGAGAGGGAGGAGGGGCGGGGAGGAGGGAGAGGAAGGAGGCGGGGAGGAGGGAGAGGAAGGAGGGCGGGGAGGAGGGAGAGGAAGGAGGGCGGGGAGGAGGGAGGGGAAGAGGGCGGGGAGGAGGAGAGGAAGGAGGGCGGGGAGGAGGGAGGGAAGGAGGGCGGGGAGGAGGGAGAGGAAGGGAGGGCGGGGAGGAGGGAGAGGAAGGAGGGCGGGGAGGAGGAGAGGGAAGGCGGGGAGGAGGGAGAATGAAGAGGGCGGGGAGGAGGGAGAGGAAGGAGGGCGGAGGAGGAGAGGAAGGAGGGCGGGAGAGGGAGAGGAAGGAGGGCGGGGAGGAGGGAGAGGAAGGAGGGCGGGGAGGAGGGAGAGGAGGAGGGCGGGGGAGGAGGGGAGGGAAGAGGGGGGAGGAGGAGAGGGCAAGAGGGCGGGGAGGGGGAGAGGAAGGCGGGCGGGAGGAGGGAGAGGAAGAGGGCGGGGAGGAGGAGAGGAAGAGGGCGGGGAGGGAGGAGAAGGGAGGGCGGGAGGAGGGAGAGGAAGGAGGGCGGGGAGGAGGAGAGGAAGGAGGGCGGGAGGAGGGAGAGGGAAGGAGGGCGGGGAGGAGGGAGAGGGAAGAGGGCGGGGAGGAGGGAGAGGAAGGAGGGCGGGGAGGAGAGGAGAGGGAAGAGGGCGGGGAGGAGGGAGAGGAAGGAGGGCGGGGAGGAGGGAGAGGGAAGAGGGCGGGGAGGAGAGAGAGAGGAGGGCGGGGAGGAGGGAGAGGAAGGAGGGCGGGGAGGAGGGAGAGGAAGGAGGGCGGGAGGAGGGAGAGGGAAGAGGGCGGGGAGGAGGGAGAGGGAAGAGGCGGGGAGGAGGGAGAGGAAGGAGGGCGGGGAGGAGGGAGAGGAAGGAGGGCGGGGAGGAGGGGAGAGGAAGAGAGGGCGGGGAGGAGGGAGAGGAAGGAGGGCGGGGAGGAGGGAGAGGAAGGAGGGAGAGAAGGAGGAGAGGAAGGAGGGCGGGGAGGAGGAGAGAGAGGAAGGAGGCGGGAGGAGGGAGAGGAAGGAGGACGGGGAGGAGAGAGGAAGGAGGGAGAGGGAAGGAGGGCGGGGAGGAGGAGAGGAAGGAGGGCGGGGGAGGAGGGAGAGGGAAGAGGGCGGGGAGGAGGGAGAGGAAGAGGGCGGGAGGAGGGAGAGGAAGGAGGGCGGGGGAGGAGGCAGGGAAGGAGGCGCGGGAGGAGGGAGAGGGAGGGCGGGGAGGAGAGGAGAGGAGAGGAGGGGCGAGGAGAGGGAGAGCAGGCGGGAAGGAGGGAGAGGAAGGAGGGCGGGGAGAGGGAGAGGGAAGAGGGCGGGGAGGAGGAGGGAAGGAGGGCGGGAGGAGGGGAGGAAGGAGGGCGGGGAGGAGGGAGAGGAAGGAGGGCGGGGAGGAGAGAGGAGGAGGGGCGGGAGGAGGGAGGGGAAGAGGGCGGGAGGAGGGAGAGGAAGAGGGCGGGAGGAGGGAGAGGAAGGAGGGCGGGGAGGAGGGAGAGGAAGGAGGGCGGGAGGAGGAGAGGAAGAGGGCGGGGAGGAGGGAGAGGAAGGAGGGCGGGGAGGAGGCGAGAGGAAGGAGGGCGGGAGGAGGGAGGAAGGAGGGCGGGAGGAGGGAGAGGAAGGAGGGCGGGGAGGAGGGAGAGGAAGGAGGGGGGGGAGGAGAGGAAGGAGGGGGGGGGGGGAGGAGGGAGAGGGAAGAGGGCGGGGGAGGAGGAGAGAGGGAGAGGGCGGGGAGGAGGGAGAGGAAGGCGGGCGGGGAGGAGGGAGAGAAGAGGGCGGGGAGGAGGAGATGGGAAGAGGGCGGGAGGAGGGAGAGGGAAGAGGGGCGGGAGGAGGGAGAGGAAGGAGGGCGGGGAGGAGGAGGGAAGGAGGGCGGGAGGAGGAGAGGGAAGAGGGCGGGGAGGAGGGAGAGGAAGGAGGGCGGGAGGAGGGAGGGAAGGAGGGCGGGGAGGAGGGAAGGAGAGGCGGGGAGGAGGAGAGGAAGGAGGGCGGGGGAGGAGAGGAAGGAGGGCGCGGGAGGAGGGAGAGGAAGAGGGCGGGGAGAGGGAGAGGAAGAGGGCGGGGAGGAGGGAGAGGAAGAGGGCGGGGAGGAGGGGAGAGGAAGGAGGGCGGGGAGGAGGAGAGGGAAGAGGGCGGGAGGAGGGAGAGAGGAAGAGGGCGGGAGGAGGGAGAGGAAGGCGGGCGGGGAGGAGGGAGAGGAAGGAGGGCGGGGAGGAGGAGAGGAGGAGGGCGGGAGGAGGGAGAGGAAGGAGGGCGGGGAGGAGGGAGAGGAAGGAGGGAGAGGAAGGAGGCGGGAGGAGAGAGAGGGAAGGAGGCGGGGAGGGGGGGAGAGGAAGGAGGGCGGAGGAGGGGAGAGGAAGGAGGGAGAGGAAGGAGGGCGGGGAGGAGGGAGGGAAGGAGGGCGGGGAGGA